CGTTGCATCGTCCGAATACTTTTCCGCTTATTTTAGAAAGCGTTTTCTTGATGCGAGGAAAAATGTTCGGCGAAAGAAGAAAAATGAGTTTCGTTTGAAGGATTGGGATGATCTACAATCCGGGTCGATTAAAGACCATGGTGGATCGGAGATGACTTGGAGTATGTCTGATTTACGAAAACTTCTAGGAGCGAGTGGGTTTTAAGACAACGTCAGCGTCTCTAACTCCCTCTTTCTTTTAGGAAATGAGTACGTTTGAATGCGTGGCGATCGTTTCTCGGTTGTACGAGAGATTGAATCGGTTTGCGAGTTATGCCTGAATGGTTAGAAAACAACAAATCGAGATAGATAAAAATTGCTTACGACTTAGCATGCAAAACTATCCTCTAAATTCTAAGTTTTCTAGGTTTCACGGCAGTTTACAAGACGTTTTCGTTTCTTATCTACGAGAAATTAGAAGTCTAATAAAATTTTCAAATCGGACATACCTTAGTTTCATCGATGATTTGGGATCGTCTATTCTTCGTTCTTCGTCTTTTGACTTACCGGTCTTCGACAAATTACCAGCAAGAGTATCGGAGCGGGGAGAAGACTTAACCATCGGAGCTCATGTTCTGCTGGTTTTATTTGACCGACTAGGTGCTCTTTGTATATCGAAAAAATCAATTACGTGGTTATGATTGGATTTTTTCTACTTAGCGTGGCAGAGTTTCGTAAAACCGGATTGGGTCTAGAGAGTTCAGATTTCTCGTATAGTTTAGGCAACTTTGGTGTTAAGTCAACCGTTGCTGTTTTAGACAATTGATTCGAACTTATACGAAGAAACAAGTCTTCGCGGTTTTATAGTAAAATCCTGATGGAAATTCCGATTGAGACGAAACGAGAATCAGCGCGATCAAGACTCGAGAGAGAAACTCGAGGATTGGTTCAGCTCGACGTAGGGCGAGTCGGGTGAACCCTTTCAACTCGCCGTGTGGCGATCTGGATGGTAAGAACCCTTGGGGTAAAGTCAGCGTCTCTTGGGAGCTAGCTAGCTCTACGTTCGGCGAGCTAAGACGCTTGGTTTAGCTCTACGTTCGGCGAGATAAGACGCTTGGTTTAGCTCTACGTTTGGCGAGCTAAGACGCTTGGTTTAGCTCTACGTATGGCGAGCTAAGACGCTTGGCGCGGGTGATCTCGATTCGTTGAGTTGACTTGTTTTCGTCATAGAATCTAAACGGAAAGTCCGATTGAGACGAAACGAAAAGCTGTGCGATTATTGTTTAGAGTACGATCAGGCTCACCATAGCTATGATTTGGATTGTGCGGACCCTCAGGGAAAATCCAGTGCCTCTAGGACGAGGTGGAAAGCCGGTCAGCTCGCCAAGATGGCAAGCTAGGTTGCTTGGCCAACTCACCGTCTTTTCGGCTGGATAGTATTGCCCGATTCTGCGAGTAGCCTATGGTTCTTCCGCGAACAACCTAGGATTTTGTTGCGAATAACCTAGGGTTTTTCCGTGAGTGACCTTGGGCTTTCTCCGCGAGTAAAGCTAGGGTTTTTCCGCGAACAACCTAGGGTTTTGCCGCGAATAACCTTTTTCCGCGAGTTACCTAATGAATTTTCCGCAAACAGCCGCGAGTATCCTAGGATTTATTTCGCGAGTAACTTACGGTTTGTTCCGCGAATAACCTAGGGTGCTTTCCGCGAGTAACCTAGGGTTTTTCCGCGAACAACCTAGGGTTTTGCCGTGAATAACCTAGATTTTTTTCGCGAGTAACCCAGGGTTTATTTCGCGAGTAACCTACGGTTTGTTCCGCGGTTTCTGGGAGAGCAAGTTTTATTTTTCCGAAAAGTTCTCGGAAAACGTCTTTTGCTCAACCCGTGAGATTTGTCCGACTCGGAAATAAGAAAAACACTATGGGGTTTGATAGATTTTATCGTTGCCCTTAGTGATCTGAGATAGAAATCGTGAGCTTGTTTTGTCGCTCTTCCCGTGGCGAAGAGTCGCGATTAGGTTTTCGATTTTGTTGAGTACTACAGCGTTTGCGTGAGCGTTGCCTGTACGAGTAGTCGCTGCTGGATTTGTTTTACCAGCCTCTATGCGAGTTGCGACCTTGTCTTTCATACATCCAGACATCGTTTTGGTCAAGCGTTTTGCGGCTATGAGTAAGAGTAATCCGACCCCCCCCCCTCCTTCTAGTGCCAAACTGTGGGAACCGAGATTCACACCTGTCGATTTCCGTAAAATAAGGAAAGTTAGGAAACCCCTAATTTTCCAGAGGAACCGGATCTCTGCGAAAGCCAACGACAAGTAACCAAGAACGCGATTAATATGAATAAATTGAAAGATATAAAAAGAAAAACGAGATTGAGAGCAAGAAGGATTCTTATTCCGAATTCGCGTAAGAACGGTTACAACGAGATTTGCCTTAGCTGCGTGAGCCGTCGGCGAAATTCCTTGTTCTAGCAATCTAAGACTAAAACCTTAGTTGAGACGCAGCTCGATAACGAAAACGGAAATATTCCTAAATTCTAAGTTTGGTGGTGAAAGCTCTGAAAATCGTGTCCCTTGCTTCTGCCCTAGACCTCTTACTTATATACTCCTCGCCTTGGCCATTCGGTCTTTCCATTTCACCCAGATTTGAGTATATCGGGAATCTTCCATTTTTCTCGATCATTCCTTTTCTTCCGCGGAAATCTTTTATTTTTCTTCAAACCTGCCTTTTATCTTCAACCTTGACATTTATTTTCCTCCTGCGAGTAAACCGTCAAAACGTTATCGTATCTTCGGGTTAGATTCCGTTAAGATCGCGAGATGGGCTTTTATCGCGTTTTAGGACCTTCCGGGCTGTTCTGCGATAAATCCGTTTTCCGACTTCGTACGGGATCGTTTCCTGATTTGATGCCGTTTTTAGTAAATTCCTCGAGTTAATCGTAAGGTTTTACGATTTACTCGACGTTTTTATTAAAAACGCGTTTTTTACGATTTACTCGACGTTTTTATTAAAAACGCGTTTCTAACGATTTTAACAAAAAATCTCGAATAAATCGTATAGTTTAGGCAATGTTTGGTGTTTCGTTTAACCGTTGCCGTTTTATACGATTTCCTCGAGTTCTTTGTCGAAAAATGAAGTTTTACGGTTTTTATCGTAAAACTCGAACGATAGGTCGGATCGAGATAAAACGGGAGACATTTCGGCCGTGGTTCAGAATGCGACCGTGTCGAAAGACGTAAGTTTCGAATCGGGGATGCGGGAGATCGAGGCTCGGGACGTCCGGGAAGTCTCTAGTTCGCCCAACGGCGAACTAAGCCGGCTGGCTTAGTTCGCCGGTGGGCGAAATAGTCGGGACGAGACTAGTTCGCCCACCGGCAAACTAGTCAAGGGTCTCCTAGTTCGCCCATCGGCGAACTAAGCCAGCTTGGCTTAGTTCGCCGGTGGGCGAACTAGTTGCGACTAGTTCGCGTTTTACGACTGTTTTGGTTTTTTTACGGTTTCGTAAAACGATTCTCGAGTTTTATAAAACAATCTTTGAGTTTTATAAAACGATCTTTGAGTTTTATAAAACGATTCTCGAGTTTTATAAAACGATCTTCGAGTTTTATAAAACGATCTTTAAGTTTTATAAAACGATTCGCGAGTTTTATAAAACGATCTTCGGGTTTTATAAAACGATCTTCGAGTTTTATAAAACAATCTTCGAGTTTTATAAAACGTTCTTTGAGTTTTATAAAACGATTCTCGAGTCTTATAAAACGATCTTCGAGTTTTATAAAACGATCTTTGAGTTTTATAAAACGATTCTCGAGTTTTATAAAACGATCTTTGAATTTTATAAAACGATTCTCGAGTTTTATAAAACGATCTTTGAGTTTTATAAAACGATCTTTGAGTTTTATAAAACGATTCTCGAGTTTTATAAAACGATCTTCGGGTTTTATAAAACGATGTTCGAGTTTTATAAAACAATCTTCGGGTTTTATAAAACGATGTTCGAGTTTTATAAAACAATCTTCGAGTTTTATTAAACGATCTTCGAGTTTTATAAAACGATTCTCGAGTTTTATAAAATGATCTTTGAGTTTTATAAAACGATTCTTCGAGTTTTATAAAACGATCTTCAAGTTTTATAAAATGATTCTCGAGTCTTATAAAACGATCTTCGAGTTTTATAAAACGATTTATATTTTTGCGGGGAGTTTTGGCTATTGATTCCGTCGTACCGATTTTGACCCCAACATTTTATAAAACGATTCTTGAGTTTTATAAAACGATTCTCGAGTTTTATAAAACGATTCTTTGAGTTTTATAAAACGATTCTCGAGTTTTATAAAACGATTCTTCGAGTTTTATAAAACGATTCTTGAGTTTTATAAAACGATTCTTCGAGTTTTATAAAATGATTCTTGAGTTTTATAAAACGATTCTCGAGTTTTATAAAACGATTCTTCGAGTTTTATAAAACGATTCTTCGAGTTTTATAAAACGATTTCTTTTATATTTTCTGCGGAGACTTTTTGCCATTGATTCCGTTGTGACCGATTTTGACACCAACAACAAACTTCGAGTCCTGGACTCGACCTAACTTAGCACAATTATCCACATGGGACAAAGTACTTCCTATAAACATAAGAAAAGCTACCATTAAATGTAGTACCAAGTGCAAGGATATCTTTGATACAAATGATGTTATTTTTGTACACTCACATGCCTACAGCCAGTCTAAAGTATCCCTCTCGTACAGCATACCCGAAAAGTATTTAAGAGATAAGCAACATTTTGTTCCCTGCTTTTTATTTTCTTCATTCCATAATACGTGCATATGTATACTATAGTTTTTTTTTTTTTTTTTGAGAAAGGGCTTTAATGTATACTATAGTTGCTTTCATAGTTTCACGTTACCATGAAATATTACTTCCTAGCAGCAAATATTTTTTTTTTAGCTTCAAGATCTTTATTCTACCGATTCTCACTAATATACTGCAAACTGCATCAACCATATTAAGAAATACACACTCACATGTAAAGTCACAGCAAGAACTCCGATTCACAAACACATGTGTTAAAAGTGGAAACTAACATATGCATTTAGACAGATAAATGATATGTTGATGGAACCAGTCGAATGGAGATCTAAACCGAACGATCTAAGGTTCTTGTTCGTATGAAAGATTACTCTCTCGTCTTTCTTTTGATCATCAACAAGAACAGCCTCCTCCTTGTTGGTCTCCTTGGGATGAATTCGAAGTCGCTTTTAGGTTAACATCAACCATATCCTCAGTTTTCATGTTTGAATATGAGTCCATCCCTGGTAACGCCGCAGCGATTTTGCGAAACAAAGGCTTGATATTGAACCCTGCTTTTGCACTAGTTTCAATGAATATAACACCGTATTCACGGCCTTTGCTGTCTCCTTCTTCAATCGAGACTTGCCTTAACCATTTTCACAACAAGACACATTTACAAACCAATCTTATTAATTAACACAAATGAAAAAAAAAAAAAAGAAGTGTTATAATAGTTTTACCTTTTGTCGACAAGATCGGTCTTGTTTCCGACAAGTACAATGATAACATCACCGGCTCTTTCGGTGCGGACTTCTTCGATCCATTTAGAAGTGTTGAGAAATGAAAGCCTATTGGATACATCATACACAACTACAGCAACAGAAGAATCTCTTATGTAACTTGGGATCAAACTTCTGAATCTTTCTTGTCCAGCAGTATCCCTTCAAGGCAAAAACCAATCCATATTTAAGAAGCTATAACTTTGTAAAAAGGTTGAAGATAAAGGTTATGAAGAACATATTAGTCATTACCAGTCGTTACAATTGGATTATTTGAAAAAAATAGTACTAACGACCAAACATGACTTAACTTTTATGGGGCTTTAGATGACAAAAAAAATGGCTTACCAAAGCTGGAGACGAACAGTTCGATCTTCTAGGTACATTGTTTTTGATAAGAAATCGATTCCAATAGTAGCCTGAGAAAAAACAACAACAAATGAAAATTTAACATTCAAAAATGTATCTACACGATCAATGAGCATGCTAGAGAAACAAAAAAAATATTCAATAAACAAATAATATTAAACCCCTTATGGAATTGTGATTAACAGATCATATATAATCATTATATCAAACGAGTAATATAGCAACATTAAGCATCTCAAAATGTAATGGTTAGAATGAATGAATCGGTGGAGTTGATTAATTACCTGGTAGGTTGTGTCGAACTTATCGTACATGAAACGTGTGATGATGCTTGTTTTTCCGACAGATTGATCTCCTAAGAAGACAAGTTTATACTTAGCCAATGGTGACACCGACGCCATCTCCAACAATCAAAGATAGATCTTTAATTTGATTTCAAAGTTCTTCTTGCTTCGTCTTGGTTCTTGGTGCAATGCAAAAACGGATCCGATCGTGAGAGAGACGCTGAAAAGAATAAGCTTCCTATTTTTGGAAAGTGCAAGAAACTGCCTAGCACGACGACTATGATTGCTAACGAAAACCCGAATTTACCTTCATCTATTTCTGTTCGTTGAAATAGAAGTTATCGGTTAAGTTGTTTTAAGTCCTAACATTAACAAGATTGACTCCATGGCCCAATGGATAAGGCGCTGGTCTACGAAACCAGAGACTCTGGGTTCGATCCCCAGTGGAGTCGTATATTTTTTTCAATAACATTTTTTCCCCGACTTTTTGAATTAATCAAAAGAAGAAAGAAAATGAGAAAGGAAGAGTAGAGTAGAGAACACATGAATCCATGGTAGGAGTTTCACAAGATGAGAAGACTAGTTGATGTGAGTGGAGATCAATCAAGATCAAGCCAAGCTTGTTTATAATGCTCAGTTTACAAAACAAGCCTAAAGGTGAGGTTGATACGAGTGCCCTCTGCTTTAACACGCTTTGGCACAGAATGAATCCAGTCCCTTTGCGTGTATCCCCTCATCACCAGCAACGATCCATGCTTCAGTGTAAACCTCTGTTGATCCTCCTCTCTGCTGCTTCTCTTCAACCTCTTCTTCGCTGGTCCACCATCTCCTCTTTTCTCTGCAGATTCACACACTAAAACAAACGTTTATTCACAGGCCAAAAAAAAAAAATTAATGGCATGACTCAAAAAGTCTCCATACCAATAAGAGAAGAGTCTTCAAGTTTCTTTTTCTTCAACACAAAGTCACGTTCGCATCCAAATGAGACGGACGCAATTTCAGGAGTTGGACCGTAAAGCTTTTCATCATCTGCGTGCCAACCAACATAGTCATTTGCGCCTTTGTACCTATTCAAAAGCAAGCTGTTGAATCTGCTTCCAGGAAGCGCTTTGTGAATCTGACAAGACAACAAGAGAAACGTTAGTTCCAACAAGTTACAACACAGGGAAGAGAAGAGTAAAGGGTTTTTGTATCTTACAGCATCTAGGATCTCCTTGAGAGGTGGGAACTCATCCCATGAATAGGCATCAGGTCGATATCCACTGTACACGAGTGGAGTCAATCCGCTACTAGAAACGTAACATGTATCTCTAGGCTACAGGTGGCAAATGCAGATATGATTAGAGGGTTACAAACACACATAAAGGACTTTGAGATTTTGGATTAGTATATTATCAAACACAAGTTCCCTTATTTGCACATTACACAACTGAAACCAACCAAGAGACAGAGGAAGTGGGAAGAACCTGGAGGCAAGAACGACCAAAGACACGGATGGTGGGTCTGGTCCAAGGAATATGTTTGTCGAGATAATCAAAGAAAGTCCAAGACTTTTGAAATGGAAGGAACCTTTGTATGTAGATGAGGTCACTTCCATGGCCAAGATCAATGGTTCTCCTAGTGGGAGGATCTTCAGAGGAAGGAGGCTCCACCGCCACTAGAGATGTCAAACTCATCCTCCCCTACACAACATAATTGCTTGAAACTTGCTTATGGACAAGAAGGAAACGTAATCTTTGTTTAGCTCATTTTTATTCTACAAATGGATGAGACAGATAATACCTGGTGGTGGTCCTGATGGCAATGGAGTCCTGTCTTGTAATTAGAATCATCTTCTTGTTCAGACATTTCTTTTGGTTCAGAACACTTTTTGTTCCTGTAAGAAACACTTAACGAAACTTACAAACCATTGTTCTTGAAACCAATTTGCATGTAAGAGATTTAAAAAAAAATCATTACTTGTTGTGAAGCGATTCATCTTCTTCATTGTTGATTTGGCAGCTAGTGGGCACCTATTAGATGAATACATATTGTTTTTTTTTTTTTTTTTTTATCAGAACGGAATCGTCACTCCCACCAAAAACGGGAAACAGTGATTTCTCACCGGGAATATGTACCTGATGAGAGTGATTAGCGTCTGAGGAAAAGTCCGGAAGAAGATTGGCGGTGGAGTTATGGGAATTCGTCATTGCCATAGCAGAGCAGAGCAACCGATTCAACTTCTCTCTCAATAGAGCTGCTTCGGGGGAGTATGGGTGGAACAAAACCGAAATGTATAAACCAAAGCGAACCGCTTAACCGAGTGATTTCATTAATTAGACACCCATAAACAAAATGCACAAGTAACAAAAACAACTATTTTTAGTGTATCCAATCCTAGGCATGGGCATTATTTCAGTTCTTTAGTTCTTGAGGGCCGTGAAATCTGATCTTATTTGAATATTATTTAAGTTTGATTCAGATATAGTAACATATCATAAATCCGGTTGATTCTGTTTTAACTTTAGGTTTGGTTCTACATCAGATTTTTTTTTTTTTTTGAATTGAATGTTAAATTTAATTCAAAAGAAAAAGTACCTTATTACATCATGTGTACTTTTAAAAACTTTACTTCAAATCTACAATTTTTTTTAAAAAACTCTAAACACTACCACTCCAAATCGATCCTAGCAAGCCATCCAAGAACCAACCATCCACGAACTCCACACCAAATCGATTCTAGCAAGCCATCCACGAACCAACCATCCACGAACTCCACACCAAGTTCTTATAATATCCTCAACTTTTCCTCCACCCAGCTCTCACTCCTACTGGGCTCCAGCTCTCACTCCTACTGGATAGGAACCTAGCTCTCACTCCTTCTAGGGACCAGCTCTCACTCCTACTGGCTTTAACCAAACACCAACCAATCCAAGTCAAAAACTCAAGAGAAAACAACAAGAAGCTTATCGCGTAGCAAACCAGAATCTCATCCCCCCTTCCATATCCAAATTACCATTCCTCTGCAAAATAGTAAACTTATTTCTCATGTTCTTATCAAGTCTCTTAATCAAAATTTCACTAGGCAAAGGAGGCTCCTTGTGTCTCCTCCTATTCCTTTCTAACCAAATAGCATGCAAAGTAGACTGCAGCATATAACGAGCAACAAAGAGCTTTATCTTAGACCAGTTCAGCCCCTCCGATAAAGTATGAATAAGACCAGACCAATTCACAGTGAATTGATCTTGTAAGACACCCTTCATGAGGACCTCCCAAATATGCGCGGTGTAAACACATCCAAAGAACAAGTGATCAATAGTCTCCATAGCACTCTGACACAGGATACATGTTGCATCAGCATCAATACTCCAAGAAGCCATGCGATCCCCTGTTGAAAGCCTGCCAAGAATTGCCATCCAAGTGATAAAAGCAAACTTCGGAGTTGCAAACTGGAACCAAATAGCCGAGTACCAAGAACAGGTTTGATATTCCTCCCTGATACTAAACCACGTATCACGAGTAGAGAATCTTGCTTTATATTTACCTCTGTTATTCCTCCATAGTGATATATCCTCCTGCTGTATCCAATTCCTCTTATAACTCTCCATCTCCTCCTCCACCAAATTCAAAACAGGCACTCTATGACATTTCCTCCGGTGATTAAAACAAGCCTCAACCGTAGAACCCATTGCAATACCCAAATCAAAATATCCTCTCCCGCCTAAAACTTCTTGCAACCTTCCCAGAGAGGACCAAGCTTCAAACCAGAAGGAAACCTTCTTCCCATTTCTCACTTGCACTCTATAAAAAGATTTAGCAATCTCTCGACATCGAAGCACCTTTCTCCACATCCAAGATCCATTTTGAGTATCTTCCTTAACCATCCAAATAGATCCCTTCCGTATCAAATAAGTTTTGATCCAATTTACCCATAAAGAATGAGCCGATAAAATCCTCCATAAAAGTTTGAGACAGCATACTAGATTGACCTCTTTTAATGGTCTAACGCCCAGACCACCCTCCTGCTTTGTTTTACATATATCTTTCCATACCACCTTCACCTTCCTGCCATTCAACTCCGGACCCGACCAAAGAAAACTGGAGCAGATTTTCTCAATTTCCTTTACACATCCACTTGGTAATCTAAAAGCAGCCATCCAAAAATTTGTTAAGCTCATAATCACAGAGTTTATAAGCTGTAACCTACCCGCGTATGAAAGGAACCTTCCAGTCCAAGACCCCACACGTTTCCTGATTTTCTCAATCAAAGGTAGATAGTCTAGCACCGTCATCTGTTTTGTCACAAGGGGTAGACCCAAGTAACGAACTGGGAGTGTACCTGTTTGAAACTGGAAATCTCTAAGAACCTCTTCCCTTCGTTGAGTATTCCCAGCTATAAAAAGAGTAGACTTCTCTAAGCTTATCTTTAATCCACTCATTCTATCAAACTCCTCAAACACTCCTAAAATGCCTTCAATAGATTTACGAGTCCCATCCGCAAACACCATCAAATCATCTGCAAAGCAGAGATGGGTAAGATCAAGATTTTTGCATTTCGGATGGTATCCAATCCTTCCACCATGAGCAGCTTCATCAATGATGCAAATGACAAAGAGATACGGAGAAAGAGAACATCCCTGTCTAAGACCCCTTTTGCTTTGGAAATAACCGGCCAGTTCGCCATTAACCTGGACTGAAAAAGAAGCAGAGGTGACACGGAGAACAATCCAATGCAGAAACCGCCTAGGAAGACCCATAGCTTCCAAAGTTTTTAATAAAAAGGACCATTGAACTGAATCAAAGGCCTTTGATATATCAATTTGCATAGCGCATCTCGAAGAAATCTCCTCCTTGTGATAGTCCTTAACCAACTCAGTAGCCAATAACACATTCTCCATGAGCAACCTTCCTTTAACAAAAGCAGACTGGTTCAGCGTGATACAATGAGGAAGAATCCTCTTAAGTCTATTAGCTAGAATCTTCGAGATCGCCTTGTAAAGAACGTTGCAACACGATATTGGCCTATAATCTTTCATCATTGTTGCTTCCTCCTTCTTGGGAATAAGGGCAAGAATGGTGGAATTCAGACCCTTAGGCAAAAAGCCTTTGAGAAAAAAAGACTGGATTGCCACGGTAACATCATCTCCAACAATCTCCCAAGAATCCTTGAAGAACTCAGATGTGTAGCCGTCTGGCCCCGGAGCTTTATTCCCTGGCATATGGAAAATAACATCATGAATTTCCTCCTTTGTAACTTCTTTCTCCAGTAGCAAGCAGTCAACTTCACTACACTGATACCCTAACAATTCCCTTAATCTGTCTACAGAAGTACCTTCAAAATCCATAGGCTCAGCTGTCATAAAATTCGTAAAAAACCCTTCAGCTTCAGCTTTAATTTCCTCATCAGTTCTAGCAAAGGAACCATCAACTCGTTTAATCTCATGAATGGAATTCCTTATTTCCCGAATTTTTGCAGAACTATGAAAAAATATGTTATTTCCATCGCCCACCTCAAGCCAATGTACCTTTGAATACTGCTTAATAACTTCTTCTATCGCAGCCAACCTCTGCCATTTAATACTCGCTTCATTCTCAATACTTACAGCCTCACTAGTAGGATTTACCAAGGTCTCTTCTTGCTTCACACATAAGAATTGATAAGCCTCTCTTGTTCTTCGTGAAAGATCACCAAGTCTCTTTTTACAGAGTACTCGAAGCGGTTGTTTTAAAGCTTTCAACCGTTTCATAAGCCGAAACATAGCCGATGTAGAATGATAAAGCTTCTCATGATCCTTCCATTGATCAACCATCAAACCCTGAACTCTGGCATCTTAGAAATAATGTTTGTAAACTTAAAAGGCTTCCTCTTCTTTCTCTCTTCCCTACTTAACTGCACTCGGCATCGAAGATGATCCGAACACCCTCCCGAATCAAAAACACAATACGTAGTCCAAGTATTCAACCACTCCTCATTTATTAAAACTCTATCCAGCTTTTTACATATTAATCCATCTTCCCTTTTGTTACACCAAGTAAGTCTTGGTCCTTGATAACTCATATCCGTCAATTTACAGTATCTAACTACATCTTGAAAGTCCCTCATCCCCAAAGGAAGTCTTGGAGAACTTCCAAAACCAGAATGCTCATCTCCCTCCAAGATCTCATTGTAGTCCCCCATCAACATCCATTTTTTGTTCCTTAACATTGGGGCATCAGAATGATTCCTTATCTCTTCCCATAACCTCTTCCTCTCCTCAACCGCATTATGAGCATAGATAAACGAACAGAAAAATTCATCCTGATTCTCCTGAATCTTCACCAAACAAGTAATTATCTGATAGCTTTTATAAACCGGAGTCATCCTAACCGTAGACCTCCAGACAATCCATAATCTTCCCAATCTATTATACTCATAGTTCGACATAAAACTCCAACCACTAAACACATCCTTCACTATCCTTTCTGCCTTTTTCTCTTTTACTCTTGTTTCAATCAAACCTCCAAATAATATAGACTTATCCTTGACCCAATTTTTAATAACTGTATGCTTAGTTGTCTTGTTGAAACCTCTCACATTCCAGAAGAAAGTAGCCATAATTAAAGATTTTTGCGAGTACCCCTTCTCATATCATTGACATGATTTGAAGTACCTGGCACCACTCTATGATTCGTTTTTGAAAGCCGAGGAAGAGTTTGTCTCGTCCCTCTCTTCTTTTCACTTAAAACATCTTCCAATATTTCCGCAGCAATTACATCTTGACTAACCTCCTCTGCTTCCTCTATTTCCTCCCTATCCTCTGGATCAATCTCTTCACCTTTCTCACCCGTATTACACAGTGCAGCAAACCGAGATGGAGTAGCAATAATATGATCAGATAATTGAGTTTGTTGCGGACTCATGCCTGCCTTATCCTGTGGCACCTTCTTCCAATCATTAATCTGCCCCTCCTCCAATTCATTATCTTCAAAAATATCCTCCTTATTAGTCTCTTCATTCCCTATACCTTCCTCCTTTTCCTCCGGTTTTTCTATAACAGGGTTCTCTACAATGTTCTTAACCTCAATAGATGTGTTCTCACCACTTGTCTGACCTTTCTCTTTCACTGATTTAACACCCTCCTTATACTCTGCTTCCTTGTCCATCTTATGCATCCTACAGAATGTCTCATAATGACCCCACTTACAACACTTCGTACATCTAGCCGGGAGCCATGGA